AAAGAAATGCAAAGAGCTAGGATGTTTTGCCGCAAACAATACATCGGGAGTCATCTATGATGACATGTTACATATAATTGACTATTCACATTTTGATGGGCTTAAGATTTCAGTTGGAAAATACGTTTTTGTAAATAGCTCGCGCTCGTTTTATTATATTTTACGAAACTTTTCTTTGGAAACTTAATATGAAATAGCAGTGCTTAGTTGACATGAAAAACCGAAAATTTCCAAAAGGGAAGCATACCCCATTGGGAAAATCATTACTAGTGTTGATATACATTAGATCTTTGCATTGATCTTTGCATCATTACATGTTTATAAAATCATCATTTCGGTCAAACAACATTCCGCCGTTAAGAAGATTACGCCATTGAGAGGATCATTAACAATGTTGTCGAACCAATTATCGTCTGTCTCCAACAGGGCTAAAAGGAGAACTGAAGTAAAAATTATACTTTTTTTCTTGCTAGTTAGCTTAAACGAATGAGATAAAGTCTTGGTAGTTATTTTCGTTCACCTCTTGTTATTCTTGAGAAAACTCGATTTGAAGTTTCTTATTTCCCGCTCTTGTTAAATTTAATTCGCGGCCAGTATAGCTGGTGTCAGGAAACTTGATGACTCAACTGTCAAATAAATCTAATTGTCACCACCTTAGATAAACGAGTACATTATCTGCTTGACTCTCCTGACATATTTCTGTCATCTACTGATCTGAGGCGGGCCAGTTATCGTTCTAATGTCGGCTTTTCTGAAAACTTTGTTTTTGTATCATGCTGCTAAGATATCATACTGGGACATTCATACTTAATCAGAAACAAGATATACTCGACCCACTGCACATGTATTTTCAAATGTATACTTAAAAGGTCTTACGCCAAATTCTCCAAAAGGATATTTCTGTAGATTTTGTTGGCGATCTGCGACTTCCTAAACTTATCTGCGACTTCCTAAACTTACTAGGGCGTATTAAGCAGCGTGGTTTAGAAACCTCAGTCAAAAACACCATTTGTCTTGGACTATAAATAAAAGAGGAAACTGCTGAAATCTGCTTTAAAAATCGTAATTTTTTTTTAGAGTAACTTGTAAGATAGTACACTTGTAAGCGTTAGCTTTTAAGTAGCTGTTAATCGGAATAACAAACTTATAACGATTTCATCATTATACTTCTTCAGTAGCATCTGGTTTTCGATCATTTAGGAGTCATAACTCTGACAATTGATAATGGAGTTCGGTGCAGGAGATGAAAATGTCGAAATGTTGCTGATAGATGAGATATGTTTGCGGAGGAGTTGTTCATTTCAAGTATTTATGAATAAACTCCCACTCGCCATGGTATCAACATTAACAGGGTTTTCAGCTGTGCACGTGTAATTGACAAGCGTAAAACAAAAATTAAATAAACAGTACTTCCCATCATCGTTTCGCGTAACTGAGAGCATGATGTCAATATTAATCTTAAATTGGTGGTTTTTTCCATCCTTATCTCATGATGTTTTTTTTATGACAATATTAATCTTAAATTGGTGGTTTTTTCCATCCTTATCTCATGATGTTTTTTTTTTTACCGTAGAAATCGAATGTAAGGCCAACAGACAATAATTGTTTCCTGCATGAGTACCAAACCGAAAAATAGGCTATTTTTAATTTGCTCTGAATGTTTTTCTCACTGGAAAATTATTTCCTTTAATTCAAGACTAGTGCTCTTTTTTCACTTACAATTAAAGTCTTGTACATGTGTCGACTTAGAAGTATTTTTGCACGTGAGAAAATACCATTTTACATGATTACAAGAAAAATTTATGAGCTGATTACTATCTAAGTCAGTTAGTTTTGTTCAGACAGTCTATCGAATCATTAATACTAGCTACTATATTAAATTCAAAACTGATCTGCGCTATGAAATATTTATAACGGCAATAGGACCGAGAAGAGTACAATTCGGTTTGTAATCATACGGGCGATTAACAATATCGGACGCACCGTGAAGCAGGAGTCCGATTTGTTAATTATGAGTATAATTACAGATAGAATTGGACGACACGAAGTCCTGTTACCAATGAATCAAAACTATGACAAAATTTGAGAAAGAAACTAGACATCGGTTATACGTTTTCATAACAAAAAAAACAACAGTAAACTGGGCGAAATGCGAGACAACAGTCCGCGCACCTGACGCGTTCTGTCCACTTACACAAGCATGACGTGTTCGCTGTCCCTTCAACTGTCCTATTTCACTGTCCAATTACAAGCGTGACGCGTACACTCTCCTATTAGTCCTCAAATCGAGCTGGTGATTACCAATCACTTCCGAGAATTTTGTTATAGTTTTGATTAATTATGGACAGTGCCCTATAACCTGTGTTCAGTGACATCTGTCTATTCTTTAATCGTTTAGGAGAACTGGCAGACAGACAAAGGAAACCCTGTAAGACTTTGTTCGCAGGGAGAATCTGATCGAAGATTGGTTGTATAGTAAGTTTTGGTTTCAAAAATCTGCACAATACCAAATGCAGTTTAATTTGTCTTTTCACTTTCTCTGAGAACTGACTACCTTGAAATGGCATAATATTCTGATGTTATACCGTCATGGTTAGATTCCGACAATTTGAAATGTCTAAAACTCTGCTCAGCTATACTTCTAATGTTAGATAAGCATTTTAGTCATGTTTTTTTGCCCAAATTTCTTGGAATACCAACAAGTGATTCGAGAGACCGAGTCACTCCCTTTGGGCTCTTTTAGCGAAAATGAGGAAACTTCAAACGGGCTGGTTTGTCTGTTTGTTCAATTTGTTTACCTTCTTTTAACTATGCTAAATAAGAGGAAAAAAGCCTCTCTAAAGCTGCAAGGCTTGCAGGAGTCATCCAAGAATAATGCCTTTATCTGCGGCAATGTTTGGGTCTCGAGTAACGATTTGTATCAGCCGCACCCTTCGTCTTGGATTAAAATGTTAGACATGCAAATTCCATGATGAGACATCAGTACTAAAGGCGGGAGTAAGATTCTTCACTGAATAGGGAATAAGCTAACTTGAGAAGAAGGGCTGGTAAAATTTTGACGATTTAGTCTTTAGTCTCCTAACAACGTGTGTTTGAGCAAAGTTTTTGCTCGCTTGTGCGGGAAACATAGAAAGTATTTGCCTATAAAATTTTGGCGTAACTATTGCTTCGAGATTATCATTCGGCAAATAACATTTTTTTTTTGCTGTCAGTGGAAACAGAAGTTGGTACGAGACATCAAGAAGTGATACATTGGCACCTGAAGGTGGACAGGTAAGTACAACCCTTAAAAAGAGGCCTTGTAATGATGGTTTAATGGGAGCCAGTAAAGAGATGATCGTTTCGATTATTTAAACAAGATTTTCGGCGTTTCACTGACAATTGGGAACAGTCTAAAAATTGTAGTTTTTAAACCATAGCTGTCATAAAGAAAACAACGTGATGTTTCCCTCTTTCAAATTCCGTTTTTTTCTAATTTGGAAAAATATTAAAGATCGACTAAATTTTTCTCTTCAGTTGTGGTTATATAAATTTTAATGATTTCTCAATGACCACAAGTTTTCCGATAAACCTGTATGATGCTCAAGCGGAAGGATAATTTTGATGAAAATTAAGTACATTTTTAATTTACTATTACCATTTCAAATGAAGAGGAAAAAAGCAGAAGGCATTACTCTTCCTATTTTTCCATTTCTTCTTTTTATTATTCTCTTTAATATATATTTGTTCTGTTTTTGTACAGCCTGTTGGAAACATTGACCAAGAACTCCTTTTGTTTGTAATTCTTTTCGTTATCATGTCGCTTGCCTTCCTGAGATGAAATCTCAAACTTCAAACTTTAATAGAAATATCGCGAGATACAATTAAGGCTAAATGTTGTAAGTTAATGATGTGTTTAATAAGATTTAATCTAAAAATATGTATCAATTATCAAGATTACAGATTCTGCCACATTTGAGTACAATAGTATTAAGTATGCTTTTTTTCAAAGATAAGGTGTGAAAAGTGCTGTGTAAATCATTTAGAGACATACCTTTTCGTTTCTCTCCTTTTTTAAAAATCCTGTGGACAAGATCATTCGTATTTTCGATTATCAGGGGAAAGTTTCTTCTGCATTAGCTTGTTCTGACATAATAAGATTTTTGGTTATTGATAACGCATATTAAGTCTCTTAGCTTATGCTGTACTTTGTGGAGGCGCGGTGGCCTCATGGTTAGTGCGCTCGACTCCGGATCGAGGGGGGAGAAGCAATACTCCTAACCGCTTCATGCTAAGAAAACCGGAGTTAAGCGCCGGCCCCATGGGCCACTTGGGTCTGTATAAGGGCTTTAATTACTTACTTATACTGTACTTAGTAATTCGTGTTTATTATTCTCCTTTCTATGAAGTCAACACTGTAAACATGATTTGATTAGGGTATTTAATGCCAAAATAATGAGCCAGTCAAAGGAAACACAATTCAAAATAATGTAGCTTTATAGAAAAAAATCATCATGAAATGATGTATTTATCATTCATAGTCAATCCATGCACATATTTCGAATAAAATGTAGATAAATACTTTACGTTTAGGGCCACAGAACGAATGCACATTTAAACTATTTGCCAGATAGACGTGTATTTAGATGTAAGGATGTGTAGACGTGCAGACGTGATTTGACTGAAATAAATAATTAATGAAAATATCTAAGTACAAATATAACAACAACAAGAATAACGAAAAAGGCTACATGAAATAGAAACTAACTTACAAATTGTGGCGTAACCAGGTGCGGCAGTTAAATTCCTGAACAAGACCAACACGGAGCTAGCAAAAACTAACGAAACGAATCAATTAGTTGAAATCAATTAGCAATGAGAATTATGTGGCGGAAACAACGCTCACACCGGCTAGAAATGAATCGGAGTTGCGTAATTCTTACATAACCTCACGCAAAAACGCGAACTTATTGAATAGAAAGAGAACCTCATGATAGTAGTTTAATACTGAGAAAGAAAAACAAGAGATCTTTTCGCAGTTGCTTGACAATGGATAGAAAGGCAAATTCTAGTTGCTACACGGGGTAAGTATATCGCCACGTCTGGTTTATAAAAAGATTGCGGCACTCACATTTGTTAACAATTGAACAAACCTGTTAAAAATAGAGCTTGTTGGCAAGATGGTTGGGCGCGTGTGATGCAATGAAACCGCACTGTCCGAAAAAAACTACTTAAGTTGACGTTGCACAGTAACGAAAAAAAACTGAATTAGTTTACTTTACTGGCACGTGCCATCTACTAGCAAGAGGTTAGCATATCATCACATATGGATTATAAAAAGATTATTACACTAACAATTTCAATAATGTGATATGATCAGCCATGACAAACGTCTGGTCACGTTTATGAACCTCGAATAATGAAGTAAGATCTGTTCATGAGTGAAATTCCTGCGTTTGGGTTTATTGTTTACCCGAGGCAAATACTTTAATCATGGTTTCCCCCTTAAATTGAGGATTGCGAAAGGAAACGAATTCTGTTGTAGCTAATAGTAAAATTCAAATACTGTTTTGAACATTCTTGAGTTGAGCATCATTTTTCACGTTCCTGAGGGTTTCTTGATGTCTTCGTGTCTAGACGGTAATAGAAGGTCAGCCAGGGCATCGATTTGACACACGCTACGTGCTTAAAATTATTGGGAATCGAGAACAGGATGTGTTTTCCCGGGACAAAAACAGTAAATTCCCGTCAATTCTTACCGACGTGAGGAAATCATATCACGACCACACTCCAACATCTCGAAGAGCATGCGCTCTCCTCACCTGATTGGCGTGGTTAGGTAGACAAGCTACGAAAGGTATCGATAATTACCTTGCAGCACGCGACTTCAATTGACTCTAAGATTCCTCTTCAAAGTGAAGTGAGACAGATGCTGCCAGAAAGGTACGTGCAATGTTTAGTTCTTGCAGTTTCGACGGAGAATAAATTACTCAGAATTACTACCAGTAGCCCTCCCATCAAATGAGAAAAGAAGGCAATGAAGTTCTTTTTATTCCAACGAGGGGAAGATTTTGATAAATCCTTCACTGAGCGAGTGCTGGCCGAATAACCACTTGGAGAGAATGTTTTCTGTAAACGATTCACAAGTTACAGATACGTAATTGTAATTTTAAATTTTAAATTTCGATTCTGGGTCTTATACGTTGCGTTATTGTTTTTGCAAAAGTTTGTATCACGTAGACTCCATATTAATTACATGTAACACTGGAGTGACGTATTCGAAGTAATAAAGGGTATTGTGCGAATTTTAATATCACATACAGTTTTATACCCCTAAATCAAACCGTAAATAATCAACTGCTCACTTGCATTCTAACTGAAACTAACCGTCGTTTTCACGTCTGGTCAGACCTTTTCCTTACGTTCCCTAAATTCATTAACTTCATTTGCGTGTTTCTGGTAGCAGTTTCAAAGTTCTCTCAATTATTTTAACTTGATTCTGTGAAACACTTTAAAAATGTAAGAAAAGCAATCTTTTGAGGAAAATTGAATTAGATATGTCATTTAAACCGGGCGAAAAGTCTGGTGACTCAGACATGTTCAGAAAGCGACAAGAGATGCTGGTACCGGCAATCAGTTTTCCTGTAAACAAGTGAATTTTTATTCAAAACATCCTTCTGTTCCCAAAGTTTCTATCCAATTCTCTTTCTGATAGTTTTGTTTCATTACGGCTACAGACTCATACTATATTTACTAAGTTATTTAATGCTTTTGGTGACGGTGTTTAAAAATGTCTGAAGCGCGTTCATCTAAAGGAAATCACTTGAATGTCACACGAACGCTCCCAGAAGGACCTTAAAAGAGCTTGTGAACGAATCCAACTGGTGAAATTTCCTACGCTTTTTTTATTTTGCAGAAAACTTAACTTTGAATTGCTGCCAAAAGATGAGGTATGCACCAAAGGAATTTATAATTTCAAGTAACAGTACATATATGCTATTCGCCGGCTGGTCTTGAAATTACTGCTCGAGGCCGAAGGCCTAGGGCAGCATTTTCAAGAACGAGGTCACAGTTTTTCACCATACGGACCGACCCATAGCCGGTAAATAACATATTTATTTTTTTTAAACTTCACGATATTCTTTCCGAAAGAACCCGAATGATTTAGGGCTGTAAATACGGCAAGATCTTCCATAAACTGAACAATTTTTGAGCGAGTAAATGGTAGTTAATTGGAGGTGATGCAAATTAAAGAGAGATGCCCCACCGAAACATTTTCATTAACATGACGATAGCGGTAATTTCAAAGGCTTCCAAACAACTTTGAAACATTATTTTTACAAATATCTGTCACAATCTGACACCTGTCAATTAGAAACGCGTAAGAAAAAAAAAGCGCAAGAAGATTTGAAAACAACGGAACTGCATTGGCAAGGACTGTCACGACAATGTTTTCTTCAAAAACAGTCAATGATCTGACGGAAAGTATATTCACTCTCATGTACGAAGATTTACCTCTGTTCATTGAGTAATCGGCGAGGAAATTAATTGTGAGTAAATTCAAATTTTTTATTTTGAAGTTGTGAGAGTTTGCTGGTTTGTTTGCTGCAATGGCGTGTGTAAATTTGGTCTTTCCTCCACAAGAACTAAATTCGAATGGCACACTCCAACGAGACACAAGGGGATTTAATGCGGCCTTTTCTCAATAAATTCCTTCAGTTTCTGTTGTGCAATTTGCGGTAAAAATGTCCAAATTGAACGGACTTGGAAAGACTTACCGAGAGCGTATATTTGTTGTAGAACTGAAATTAAAACTTCGCTCGCTCTTTCACTACGAACAAATTGTTTGAGAAAATTCTGATATTAAACAAATGAAAGTTCCATCGTTCACGGTTTAACTGTAACCAAATACCTCACGTTTTAACTTTCTAGGTACTTTTTTGAACGCTTAAAATTAATTGCAGACGGTTTTTAGGCCCTTGTCAACCAACGCAATGACACTATTGCTTATACAAGTTCATTCTGAAACTAATATTAACCAAAAGTCAACCAAAGTGATTTGAGAGAAGGGAAAGAGGGGATTCATAAGTTATTTATCGGCCTGAGGCAGTGACCGACGTGTTTGCTTAAAAGTACCGCCCAGCCGGAAAACGAGATATATTTATGAAAAATGGCAACGATAGTTGGGATGTACTCGGCGACTCACGAGAGCGTTACCGTGGCCCGTGGGCAGAGATAGGGAAATACTGACCGGGTAAAGAAC